ATTTTTTTGGCAAAGGCTGGTTCTGACTGGGCAGGTCGATCGATATTGACGAGACCACGAACAACAAGAAGAATGCGGCGGTGACAGGTGAGTTTGTTTCTTTTGCTATATATACACTGAGCTGCTTAGATGCTGGACTGGTGATTCGCCATCTACTTGTAGTAGTGTAGAGTTTTTGTGTGTGTCTGGGGAGAAGAAGACAAGCAAATCAACTTGACTAACATTTTGAACCTTGTCTTTTGTCATAGACCTCGCGGATCTCGAATGGCACACACTTACATCTAGTGAGGTTGCGATGCGCCTCAATTCCTCTCTCAAAGACGGTCTATCCGACGAACAAGTCAAGAACCGCCTCCAGCGTTATGGAAAGAACGCGCCCTCCCCTCCTGAAACACACAAATTCAAGACAATCATGGGATACTTCTTCAAAGGGTTTGGGTCCATCTTGCTGGTCGCCTCCATCCTCGTCTTCATTGCATGGAAGCCGCTCGGAGATCCCCCTGCCCAGGCTAATTTGGCCCTCGCCATCGTTCTGTTCGCCGTGTTCTTGATACAGGCTGGTTTCAACATGTGGCAAGATTGGTCTTCAAGTCGAGTGATGTCGAGTATTAAAGATATGCTCCCGGATGAATGCCAGGTTATCAGGAATGGTTCTCAAATGACTTTGTTCGCCGCAGATTTGGTACGCGAACGAGATCCTTTGCTGCACAATAATATGTCAGGAACGTAACCTAATTATTACACAGGTTCCAGGCGATGTCCTTTTATGCAAAGCAGGCAACAAATTACCAGCGGATGTCAGGTTCACTCATGTGTCTTCTGATTCAAAGTTTGATCGATCTATTCTGACGGGTGAGTTATGATTTCAAAGCTCCGAGTGTTGGAATGAGTGAAAACGCGCCCGATAGGGTTCAATAAAGGGGCCTGAGCTAACTCTCTATACCTCCTCCAGGTGAATCTTTCCCTCTGACAGCCACCGTCGATTCTACGGATACGAATTACCTGGAGACAAAGAACATCGGACTACAAGGAACCCACTGCGTGTCAGGGACCTGCACTGGAGTGGTTGTGGCCACCGGAAACCGTACCGTCTTTGGCAGAATTGCAAAGTTGACAAATGAGCCCAAGACTGGTATGACCACTCTTGAACGAGAGGTCTTGAACTTCGTTCTCATCATTTGCTCTATCATGGTCGTCATGATTGTGATCGTTCTGGTGCTTTGGTAAGTCGACCTGGAAATAAACATCCGGAATTCCAACATTGAAGAAAACTAGCTTACCAAAAATAATATTAGGGGCGCCTGGCTGAGGAAAGCACATCCAGACTGGATCAATGTGCCCACTCTCATTGTTGACTGCGTGTCGGTGGCCGTGGCTTTCATCCCTGAAGGTCTCCCTGTGGCTCTGACGGCGAGTCTGACAATCAGTGCCAACATGATGAGGAAGAACAAGATCCTATGCAAGTCTCTGAAGACAGTTGAAACGCTGGGATCAGTCTCTGTGATCTGCTCAGACAAGACTGGCACTCTCACTGCGGTATGTGCCTCAAGACCATCACTCGATATAGATTGAATCCTGACATAGAGCGGTGACAGAACAATATGGTCGTGACAGATTGTTATCTCGGTCTTGAGAAGATCACTGCAGATGTTGTTCGTGACACTCTGATAGCTGAACGCAATACCGATGGTAACTTCGCAGGCAATGCGATCGACCAATTGCGTACAGTAGCAGGGCTTTGCAACTCTGCAGAATTTGATGCTGCCACCCGGTCGCTGCCTCTGGCTGAGCGCAAGATTCACGGTGACGCGACAGACTCGGCCATACTTCGCTTTTCTGAGTCACTTGGGCTGATCTCCGAATTGAAAATGTGCTGGCAAAAGAAGTTCGAGTTGGCCTTCAACAGCAAGAACAAGTACATGATCAGGGCTTTTGCTCTGAGCCATCCCGATGGGCTTCAGGATGCGTTGCCCATGGACACTGCTTCTGTATTTGAGCCTGGGGACTTGTAAGATCACATCCAATTTATTCATATTCTGTTTCAGTGACTAATCGAATTTTCTTGCAGCCTTCTGACTATCAAAGGTGCCCCTGACAGGCTTCTCGAACGCTGCACTCACTATATTGGAAGAACCGGTGCCTCCCATGTGCTCAATGACAGCACGATAGCTCGAATCCAGGCCGTGCAAGAAGAGTACTCAGCCAAAGGCCGCCGTGTACTGCTTCTCGCACACAAAGCACTGTCTCGCAGTGCCCTCAAGCATTCACCCCTCTCCTCAAGCTTTGACGGGATGATGACGGAGCATGCCAAAACCGGGCTCACGCTTGTCGGCCTTGTCGCCATCGTGGATCCTCCTCGTCCAGAAATTCCAGGCGTGGTCTCAACCCTCCGTGGCGCCGGCATTCGCATATTCATGGTCACCGGCGACTTCGCCCTCACAGCTCAAGCCATCGCTACCGAGTGTGGAATCATTACGAATCCCGCCGCGGCAGTCCAGGACGCCTCAGCCCTGAGCCGCGATCCGCTTGCCCACCCGTCCGAGTTGAACAAGGTGGCCGGCAAAGTTGTGCGATTTGACAGCGAGTCGGCGCCGAACTCCATCGTCCTCACCGGCTCCGACCTCATGGCGTTGAACGAATCGCAGTGGGACCAGCTTGTCACCAACTTCTCCGAGGTCGTCTTCGCACGCACGACGCCCGAGCAGAAACTGCGCATCGTGCGAGAGTTGCAATCTCGTGGCCAGGTGGTGGGCATGACGGGAGATGGCGTCAACGACGCGCCCGCTCTTCGGGCGGCAGATGTCGGTATCGCTGTAGGGTCCGGTAGCGACATTGCCGTGGAGGCTGCGGATATGGTCCTTCTTGGGGGCTTTGAGAGTGTGGTGGAGGCAGTTCGCTATGGTCGCATGATGTTTGACAATCTCAAGAAGACCATCGCGTATCTGCTTCCTGCGGGCAGTTTTTCCGAATTTTGGCCTATTTTCACAAATGTCGCATTTGGGCTGCCGCAAGTTTTGAGCAGTTTCTTGATGATTGTCATTTGGTGAGTCTCCCGAGTTTCCACAAATTTCCTACAGTCGAATTAAGAACACCGACGCTAACCCATGATACCATCTAGCTGCTTCACGGACTGTCTCGCAGCCACGTCTCTTGCATACGAGAAACCCGAAGCTGATGTGCTCCTGCGTCCTCCACGTGTCATTGGTGTTGACCACCTGGTCGACTGGAAGCTCATTGTCCAGTCCTACGGCTTCATCGGCTTCATGGAGACATTGTCATCCTACGCCATGTCCTTCTGGTACCTCCAACGCAACGGCATCGCCTTCAATACTCTGTGGTTCGGGTTTGGCAACATGCCAGCCGGTATCAGCGAGGCTGAATACACGGCCAAGCTGAACACGGCCAGCTCCATCTACTTTGTCAACCTGGTCGTCATGCAGTGGTTCAACTTGATGTCAGTCCGGACAAGGAGATTGTCTATTTTCCAGCACCCTCCGTTGTTCAACAAGAAGACGCAGAATTTGTGGTTATTCCCAGCGATTTTGTTTGCCTTGGTTATGGTTTTCTTTTGGTGTTATATTCCCAGACTGCAGGATGTCTTGGCCACGTCCACGGTTCCTGTCGAGTTCTGGTTCCTACCAATGACCTACGGGCTTGGTATTCTTTTGTTCGATGAAGGGCGCAAGTACTGTGTCAGGCAGTGGCCAAATGGGCTGATGGGCAAGTGGGCATGGTAAAGAGACAGTGGGTACGGGCAATTGTATTCGTGGCGTGTAGCACTCAACAGTACCGAGACGATATAGCCTTGTTCATGCTTCTATGATACCATAATGCAAACCATGATTGAAAAGTACCGTAAAATTCTCATCTATCTATAGAAGCTACTGGCAATCACTGCCTTGTTGCCACATCCATTGGTAGATTCCATTATTGTGCCCTTGCTTAACATCTGATACTGGTCCTTGCCTCAACCTTTCGCTCCAGGAAAACTTGCTTGAAGTCCTCTCTTATCATCTCGTTTCATCAGTCTGATAGCCCTGTGTAGTTTGACATTGTCATTGATTCAAGTTTAGCACAAGCGTCTGAGGAAAGCCACAGCCCGTCGAAGCCGGGCTCGGCGCTGATGAGCCGTTCAACGTTTCCAGGCGCCCAAAAGATCACTTACAAAACGAGGCCTGTCTTATCTCCTCTTTCGACAGCACATTCTCAAAGCCTTTCTACTCGAGGGGTTCACTCGGTTTTCATGAGGCTTGTAGGAAAAATGCCCGGGGAGCCCCGGTTGGGCGAGCCGCTTAGTTGGGCAGGTCGCGAATGGGCCAAACGGGCGGTCATGTATAGTCGGCGCGCTCGTAGTCTCGCAGGTCAAATCTCCCAGATCTTGGACTCCTTTTTCTGTATTCGAAAATATCAAAGGGGGCGGTGGTGGGATTCATGCATTGTCAATTGTAAGCGCCCTCTTTTAAGACGTCTGATGGCCGCCCCACATGATTTCAGGCAAACCCAACACATTTGTCTCACCGATAAATACATACCTGTCAGACTTTTATCTGATAGCCAACCCTTGTCTTCGAAGGTTTCTTAATTATGGTATCTTCAGACAGGTTCGTTGCTGTGATCTATTCCAAAACGGGGCGTGCCCCGTTGTCGAGTATCGAGCAGAACTGTATCATTTCCCACCATGTTTGGGCCACTCAAAACTCGAAATAAAGGCGTTTGAGGTTGACTAAATTCCGTTCTGACTGACACGAACTGATCATGATGGGCACACAAGAGCTGACATTGTGATCAGGAAGTGATACAGAAGTAATATCGATCAACATCAAGATTTTTCCTATTGCACTGAATTTGATACACCGCATTGCATGCCTTGGCTTGATATCAACCGTACTATGGCGGATTTGAAGTGGGTTAAGTTGCCAAGAAGCCTGGTGAACCCAGAAGACCAGAGATCATTTTTGAGTTATAATGACTACTTCTGAGGCCTTTTTAACGAATAACAAGTCTTCGTGGCTCAGTTGGTTAGAGCGTTGGTCTCATAGCATGACTCAATAGATAACTGTTGAGAGTTTCCAATAATCCAAAGGTCGTGAGTTCGAGTCTCACCGAGGACATACGTTTTGCTCCGTCCGCGTCATCATTCCTTTGCGGGGGGCTTTTTTTGCCTTCGTATACACCTTCTTGTTTGGTACACAGACGTACGCTTGCTTGCTATAGTCTCAAAGGTTGAATGGTTGGGGCTGCGGAATTAGAAATCGGAAATATGCTTGGGGTACTCGGTGTGATATCGAGCCACACTACACCCACAATCCATCTGGCCCGAAACAGTGACCTTAGTAGGGTTTTCATTCTGCATGGAAACATTCCATGGATTAGTATTCTTCAAGCCATTGCACCTTTGGCAATTACCTATACTTGAAGCTATCTACTTCCGGCGAGCGATTACTCCACATGCGATGAACCCGCGCTTAATGAAGCCATGCGCAATTGTCTTTTTAGAACGCAGCCGTTGACCCCAGACTGCAATCCCATGGCTTAGTGTGACCTGAATGCTAGGCTGTCTGGGAAGTCAACCTTTAAGTTGACCTTCCCAGTAATGAATATCATATGTGGTGTATAATTTTCGGATCGTGGTCCAGTCCATCGGGCGGGTACGTACCGAGTCTCGGCACGTGCCGATCAGGGATGACACGCTCAATAAAGTGGGCCTACACGGTTTCTGGCCAATCCCCACAGGCTAAACCAGCGCTTCGGTATGCACTAGGCGCTAGGCCCATTCCGGTCTCCGAGCTGCTGGGACCACGGAATTAGACAACAGACGCATCGACGTAGCTACTTTATTACAAAATCCTGCCATTGCACTTTCAGATAATTGTCCAACGAATATCCATCCTAGAGGTAGGCTATTTGCAATTTATATATAGTAGAGCTTTTTTATCGATGGGACATTGTAAGAATTTTGAGCACGGTCGGCATATCATGGGCCTTGTTTCCAACTCTAAATCCGTGGCGCGGGTTCAAGGGTTGCCTTTCGTCTTCCTATATAAAATCTCATACAATCACGGTCAATAAACCTCACATTCCTGAGATGATGGTGGCTTTCTCTACTGTCTTGCTGCCTATTCATTCTGCGTCTAGATACGGGGCATCGAGTCCTCTGCAAAGAGAAGATGGTGGTCATGCGCGACTAATCAAACAGGTCTCTTTTGCTACATATGTAGTGACTTCATCTGAGATGTCGATTTCTGAGGTGAGATAAAATATGCAATATCGCCCGTGGGTAATCTCTAAGTGACTCGTTAGGATAGTGTGTATCAAATGCGAAGTCAATGGCCTCTCCTGATCATCTGGACGGAGTGAAAATGCGTGCCTATTCACTGTCCAACACTAGGTATGCTATCGCCCTATTGCGGTACTTGTCACGTATATTTGGACTGTGTAGTCATCCCTGGAGGTCCTATCAGAAGACACATCGCTGAGTAATTCCAACCAAGTCTACGGTGAGTATGGTGCGTAACGTGCAATTCATGGTCTCGGCGGGTACTCGTCCAACATACTCGAGACCAGGCGCGATAAAGGGACGCGTACGTGTGCAAGCAAAAATTACAAGGCACTTTGATGTCCAATGACCGGACTAGACAAGAATCGATGTCTGGATGAAAGATTGGCCACTGCCTCAGCTATCTTCCCATGGGAGGCTAAAATGTGATGATGGGAACAGTAGTGGAAGCACAGCAGATTTAATGCCATCTATTCGTCATCTATCACCATGCTGTTGCTCGCCTCCAACCCAACTCTCACCAATCACAACCCCTCAGCATACAAATACAATATTCTCCTCCACCTTACAGGTACAATCCCTCCGGCTCGCCCTCCTGCTTCGTGCGAAGGACTCTCTCACGAGCAGAGCGGAAGTCAGACATTTGCACCCGCATACGCCGCTCCCGCAAGGCCAAGAGACCGGCTTCGGAACAGATGGCCTTGATATCAGCACCCGAGAGATCGTCCTTCTGCGCAATGAACTCCTCCAACTCCACATCCTCGTTCAGGCTCATCTTGGAGGTGTGCAGGTTGAAGATCTTGCGCTTGGTATTCTGGTCTGGGGGCTCGAAGAGAATCTTGCGGTCAATACGACCCGGCCGGATCAGAGCGGGATCCAAGGTCTCGATCTTGTTGGTGGCCATGATGACCTTGACGTCGCCACGATCATCGAAACCATCCAGCTGGTTGAGAAGTTCCAGCATGGTTCGCTGCACCTCTCGCTCACCTCCAGAGGTTGACTCGTACCGTTTTGTGCCAATAGCGTCGATCTCATCGATGAAAACGATGGAGGGGGCATTGTCACCAGCGCTCTGCCAGGATGTGTCAGTAAGGGGTCCAAGAGGTGTAGAAAAAAGTGTCCTGTCAACTTACCTGGAAGAGCTGTCTAACCAACCTAGGACCATCACCCAGATACTTCTGAATCAACTCAGAACCAACAATCCGCAAGAAAGTCGCAGATGTCTGATTTGCCACGGCTTTGGCGAGCAGGGTCTTTCCAGTACCAGGAGCGCCGTACAGAATGACACCCTTTGGCGGCTTGATACCCATCTCCTCGTACAACTCGGGATGGAGCAATGGCAGCTCGACCGACTCCCTCACCTCCTGGATCTGCTGCTCCAAACCACCAATATCCGCATACGACTCGGTCGGAGCCTTGTCCAGCTTCATGACACTGACCGCAGGATCGGTGTCATCCGTCAAAACACCAACGATACTGACGCTCTTGTGATGCAGTAGCACACTGGCGCCCGGCTCAAGCAGATCCTTGTCGACGAAGCTCATGATGCTGACATAGTATTCAGGTCCCGTAGTGCTGGATACGATGGCGTGGTCATCATCGATCATCTCCTCCAGGGTGCCGACGCCCATGGGGCTGCCCCTCATGTCGTCGACACGGCCGCGCTCGTCGGCGTTACGGTCGGCAGCGTCATCGGCAGCGACTGGGGCGGAACTATCCTTGGCAGTCTTGGCCTTCCTCAGACGCTCCTGGTTCTCGACATACTCTTCTTCAAGTAGCAGATGATCGTGGACGCGCTGCATTCGCAGCAATCGGAGCTTGCATCGCTGGCTGGGATAGACGGCAGGGAGTTTGGCGGCAGCACTAGTACCACCCTGCTTTCTCTTCTTGCGACCGACGCGAGTGGTAGGCTTTGGGGGAGGCTCGTACTTGGGCTTGTCCTTCTGCAGTGTGGAAGGAGAGGTTAGCCAAGAGCAAGGGCCAGTAGAGGTAGCAGAATTCGATGATGACATGAACATACCTTCTTGTCCTTGTCATCACGGCCATCGCCGGGGCCTCCCATGCCAGACTGGTTCTGACCCTATTTAAATGATGCAGTCAGTACATTGTCGACGATTGTCATTGGTGTCTGTAGCTTGATGTAGGCAAGGTGCGCGCGTACCATGTTTGCGGATCAGAGCCGGTGGCTATCGTATGTGGAATGGTAGTAACAGGTAGGTCTGTGTGACTCGGGGTTGGATGATCTACGAAGATCGATTCTTGTCGTGAGGACAAGAAATTGGAAGGACGGCGTATGAGTCGAAATTGATTTGGTAGAGGTTGGTGTTGGTGATGCTGCGGCGATGATGGTGTCGAAAGCCCGAAGCTGACCTCAACTGGAACGGTACCAGGTCGCCTTGAGTTACGTAATCATAGGCTCCAAAGCACACACGCAGCTGCAGGGATTAGCATGTGCTTTGAAGGCTTGTTAGCCTGCCGGGAAACAATCCCTGCAAGGCCAATGAAGTCACTGCCACCCTTCAGAGGGCAAATGCACCCTCGTTTCGGCATCAGATGCATTGTTCTGAAAGGGACTGCCCTTCCTCAACTGCCAACCGAGAAGAAAAGAAAAGAAACTAACTGCACTTCTTGTTTTGCACCAACCTTGTCCAACTGACTCTGAAACAAAACTTGGTACTTATTTCAGAGGTTCTTGGTTGGTGGGGGGACTTGGCTTGCACGACAACACCAGCCCGTCCTTTCATATTAACTGTAGACTTTGCAAGCTGCGCTGGACCGTTCTTTTATAAGCAGCGCCTTGTCAAGGTTGACGTCCAGACAGCTTCGGCCATACTTCCAACCTTGTCCAATACAACATTGAACTTCGGCACTGACCTGCTGGAACATCTTGACCTCGACAAACCATCCACCCTGCCAACAGTTCAAAGTTGTCTTGCTCTTCCCATCGTCGAGTCCTCTTCCATTGCGAACCCCTCACCCTCCCCCCACCTTCGCACTCTGCCTCCCTTCCTCACCATGGCCACCACGCGAGAACGCCGGATTGCCAAGGAGCTGGCGGATATGCACCAGGACAAAGACAACTCAGGTGTCTCTGCCTCGCCCGTCGACGCCAGCAACCTCACACATCTGAAGGGCACCTTTCCCGGGCCTCCAGACACCCCGTACGCCGGCGGCACCTATACCGTCGACATCCAGATCCCTGACATGTACCCTTTCAAGTCGCCCGTCATGAAGTTCGACACCAAGATGTGGCATCCCAACATCAGCAGTCAGACTGTGAGTACACCGTACTTGTCGTTGAAAATGTTCGACGCTGTGATGTTCGAGGGAGGGCATCCCGTTTTCTAAAAACTCGAGACACCATAGGGCGCCATCTGCCTCGACGTTCTCGGCAACGGCTGGTCACCCGTAGGCACCATCAAGACTGCCCTCCTCTCCCTACGCATGCTCCTTGAGGCTCCCAATCCGAAAGATCCACAAGATGCAGAAGTAGCTAAAATGATGATGGACGATCACGAGTACTTTGAGAGCGTCGCCCACGACTGGGCCGTCAAGTACGCTGGCGCACCAAGGTCACGCCCTTCGGCAGATCAAGTACAACGGAAGACAAAGGAGAAGAAGGAGGATGATATCCACAAGTTCGTTTCTCCTGTCGCTGTCTTCCTGAGCTTCGTAATTTCAAGCCCAGTACTAACTAAGATCGGCGGCACTTCAGATACCAAGGTTGGAACAAAAACATGGTTGACCAATTCGTCAACATGGGCTTCGAGTTGGATGCTGTGGTAGAAGCCTTCACATATGTGGGAATCGATCGCCATGGTGGCGAGGAATACG